AATTATTTGGCATTCATTAATACGGGGTACAGTAGTCAGAATCAGTAAAATTTAAATAATCAACTAGTTTCAAAAATAAACAATAATACATAACTAAGAAATTCACACTTGACACATAAAATAAAAGAACTTCTCTAGCCTCAATACAAAACAAAATTCAGTTACAAATTCTGTAAGAAACACGATTTTTACATTTCATATATGTAGGGTCAAAGTACTCAAGTATTAATTTCCCACTCTGGGTACTTAATAATTAAGATTAAACGTCTTCTACTCCTCATGAATATTTTCTATACCCTCTTTTAAGCTGTCACAAGAAATGCCCAGTTCTCAAGCTTTTCCAAGGTAAGTTAGGAGAAAACTTTGTATCCCAACTACAAGCAAGTATGATAATTATACTATTTAACCATCTATCTACAATAAAACCACATATCTATAAATTGTTGGTTTTCACTGAATTTTTACTAAAATTCCAGTAGGTATTATTGGCTCATTTTTACAGATGGGGAAGCTTGGGATCAGGTAATAGATTTTCAACAAACTCACACCCACGAATGGAGCTCAGCTATACACACCATGATGCCCCTCTTGAACAGAGCATCATCTACCTTCCTCTTCCCCTCCCTCTATATATCATAGGTATTAAATTGGTCAAATCATGGCTTGGTAGCAAAGCCTGAGCTTTGAGTACTTGTAGTGCTATTCAAAAGATATTATCTCTCTATCCACACTTCCCCAACCCCAACTAACCACCATTCAATTACGAAGGCCTTTTGACTTACCTTTGAATAAGGAACACTCTCACTGATCATAATACAACTGCTTTTTGCATTTGGTTTATTTTCAGTGAGAGAGGAAAGAGGTGGGAACTATAGTTTGAACCATATGAAACTGTGAATATTCAACTGTTTAAGCTAATAGTGACTATTTATTAAGTGGCCAGTAGATTCCAAGACTTGGTGGATTATTTAATTAAATCCTCACTACTTTATTACTTAAATATTATACCACTATAAAGATGAAGAAATTTAAATGGGAAAGTAGGTCAGGAGACCCATGGATCCACATTTCAGCCTCTCCACACCAATTATTTTAATTTTATTGTTTATGCTGCTTAAAGAAAACAAATAACTGCTGGGAAGCTGGATCTTAGCAGGCTGTTACACTGGAATCTCTCCCTTGGCCTTAGGCCTTAAGTGGCCCCTCTCTACCTATTTAGCAAACTCTTTTATGTGTTCCTGGTTCCCACCCTCAATCCCATCATTATAAGGTCCTCTGGTTGTTTTATCAATATCCTTCAGCCCAGCCCTCTATACAGTAAAGTATCACATAATGTCATCAATGGATTCTTGGAAACTGTGACTTTAAGTGAAATGATGTATAACAAACCAATTTTTTTTTCTTTTTTTTGTGAGACGGAGTCTCCCTCTTGTCGCCCAGGCTGGAGTGAAATGGCGCAATCTCGGCTCACTGTAACCTCTGCCTTCCAAGTTCAAGCGATTCTCCTGCCTCAGTCTCCCGAGTAGCTGGGATTACAGGAGCCCACCACTAAGCCCAGCTAATTTTTGTATTTTTAGTAGAGATGGGGTTTCACCATGTTAGCCAGGCTGGTCTCAAACTCCTGACCTCAGGTGACCCGCCCAACTCGGCCTCCCAAAGTGCTGGAATTACAGGCATGAGTCACTGCGCCTGGCAACAAAACCAATTTTACTACAGACTAATTGATGTAAACAAGAGCTAACTTCCTATGGCATATTTTTGGTCACAAGAACATCATCAAACTTCTAAATAAAGATTCTAAATAAACTTCTAAATAAATAAAGTATCTAATATTAAATACTGAAATAAATGTAAGCTCTACATACATTTAGGAAAGATCAATAAAAACAAAATACTCAACTTGGTGAATCAGTGAGTGACGATGGTTGTGGTCATAGTGGGTTAAATTAAGGAATAAATGTTTGCAAAGTGAAAATTATAAAGAGCACCTCCTACCACCACACAGTTCAAAAACAAAAACAAACAACAATGTTGGGCTAGCTGAACGTTTTTGTATTACAATTATTGTTATGCACTTATATGTAGTATACTTTATGAATTTTTATTATACAATAATTTGCATTCATTTATTCATTCATTTTTCAACCCACTTATTCTTAGTTCAGGGTCATGGGTGGCTGGAGCCTATCCCACCAGTTCAGGTTGCAAGGCAGGAACCAACACTGGACAGGATGCCCTTCCAACTGCAGGGTACACTCACACATACCTACACTAACTCCTACTGGTACAATTTCAGACATACCAATTCATCTAATGTGCACATCTTGGGAATGTGGGAGGAAACCAGAGTACCCAGAGAAAACCCACGCGGACATGGAAACAACGTGCAAACTCCACACGGTGGCCCTAGCCAGAAACTCATCTTTTTTCACATCAACATTATAAAAAAACAACATGAAAAAAAAAATGTTATTGAGGACCTGCTGTATTCTAGAAAAGTGAAGCTCTTTTAAGGATAGCTTAACTAATTCAGTATGAATATTATGTTGGTTCAATTGATTTAAATAATTTTCAAAGTTTCCAGTTAAATATAAAATAGTTTAAAATATTTCTTTCCAATAATATCATTCCTACAAAGAAGCTCTCTTTGAAATAGTTTTAATAACAACTTACTTTCTCCACTCCCACTTGCTACCCTCATAGCTTATTTAATTCAGAGCCACCAGAGTAGTACTGTTAAAATGTTTGTCAGAGCCCATGACTTTTCCATTTAAAAACTTACAGTGGTTTCTATTCTCAATCAGCATAAAATTCAAAACCCTAACTGCGGACTATAAAGCTCACATGACATGGCCTCTTGTTACCTCTCAATGAAACTTTTACTACTCCCCCTTGTCAACTGAATTCCAGCCACAATAGCTTTGCCTCCTTGCTAGTATCTGAATATAGCATGTACATGCCCACCTCAGGATCCTCACCCTTACTCTTCTGTCATGACTTACTTTCACTTCATTCAGGTCTCTGTTCAGATGTTAGAAACTATTCCTGATCTTTACAGTAGTCTCAGCCTCTACTACTGTCTATCTCCTTATGCTGCCTTATTTTTCCTCATAGTATCTACCAACTGACCACTGGGAGACATGTCTCTGTGCATCTTTCATTTCTGCATATTTTGCAAGCCAGGAGCTAACTGACCGCCCCCCCACCCAACCCACCACTTTCTTTTTTTTCTGTACTATCTTTTCAAAGATCTTTGTATAGCAAATAGTCTTGGCAGATACACAAAATATCTTTCCCTGCAGCAAAGGACAGGCATGCTTACCATCCATTATAAAAGATTCAGCTTCCCTAAGCTCAGGGTTCCTCTTCTACAACGCACTCAATTATGTGCAGGTCTCATCTAGTTCTCTCTCCATTGCCCTAGGGGAACTGGGACTCGGGAAACCAATACAAAAAAACGCTGATCCTATGGCTACTGCTATTGCTATGAGTAGAAGTCTTACATCTTCAGTTGTCATTCATAAAACTGGCAGGTTACAAGTAGGGTAAATATCTTGGCCCTTCATAGTTCTTGACATTGACATTACATATTGAATTTCTCTCTATTTTTTTTCTCCTGACTAATGTTTGATTGCTATATCCTCATTTCTCTATAGGTTTCAAAGCACTTTTACAAATAGTATCATCTGACCTTCAAAAATCCCTGTGGAACATTTTCTATTTCCACTTAATAGGGAAGACACAGATCCAGAAAGGTTAAAGGACAAACCCAAGATTAGCATAACAGATCAGTCACAGAATAATAGCAATTAGAATCCAGGTCTAATTCCTAATTTGTTATTAACTTGTGACTACTTCTTAAAAGATAACTACTATACTGTACATTCTGTGAGACAGAAGAATATCACCCACTGATATTACACAGCAAATTCCTTACGTGGTATCACATAAAAACACAAAAATGTCAATGAATAATAAAACTGAGTACCCAAATAAGCACCTGTAAGACACTGAAATGTACGTCTTTTGGGGTTCTTTTATTATACATTACGGCACGTGAATGATCATGCGACAAAACTAGATTCTGTTCTTACAGTAATAGCCATTTCCTTTATGTCTACAGGAAGACATCTTAAGAAAATACCCAAAAAAGTTTCCTTTGTAACCAGAATTCTCATCTTTGCAAGAATTAAGAGTGCTTCCACATAAACTTCATTAACCTGAAAGGTTCCAGATAATATTAATGCTGTTTATACAACTCTCAAGATAGGTAATAAAGAAGCATTTATTACTAGCTTTTTATCTATAATGTGAGCAAAAGACTCAAAGAGAAGTCTGTATACAACTTGGTCAGTCATTTATAATTCACACTTTACCACTTCCAGGAAGACTGAAGGGAAAAAAAGTCGAGAGTATAAGAATAGATTTCATATACAAAAGAAGTGTCAAGTTATATAAAATATCTGATTTTAAAAGCCCTATATTCCCAAGTAGAGTAAATCTGCAAAATCAGTAATACATATGGTCTATGGTTCAGAGTTCTAATATGCTTATAAATCTATTAATATGCTTATAAATCTATATGCTTATAGATGCATATAGATTTATAAGCATGCTTATAAATCTATTAATATGCTTATATTATACATGCTTATATTATAAAAGTATTAATATGCTTATAAGTCTATAGGCATATAGATTCATAAGCATATCAGATAATATTATAAATCTAATATATGGATTTATAAGCATAGATTATAACAGTATATAATCACCTTCAAGGTTCGTAAGTTATAAAACTTGATTATTACATTGCACAAATACAGCTAAAATGATGATGACTAAGTAGTTAAAATTTTACCCTTAAGTAAAGAAAACTGAAGAAAAATTGAAAAAGAATCAAAATATTATAAAGGAAAACAATAAAGTTTAATAAATTACTAAGGTAAAAAAATTGCTTTATAAGGCAATTTTAACTCAATTATCCCCATTTCACTTACTGTGTAAGTTATAGCTGCCAACATTCCGATCAAGGTCAGAGAACTGATAGAAAATGACAACGCAGCTAAACCATCTGTGAAGAAAGAAAAACTGTTAAAAATGTACATATACACTACTCAAATACTTATATTTGGCAAATCAACATAGAAAGCTGAGCGGCTTACATATTTTGAAAAAATAAAAACCACTAAAAACCACTATGTATTATCGTATTCTTGAAGTGCTAACTCCAAGTGGAGAAAAGAGTTTCTAAAGGACTTTTTAAAAATTGATTTGTAAAAAATCTTTCAGACTAGCTGAGATTTTTTTTCCTTCACCTCTTAAAATTAAGAGGAAAATTACTGGCTAATTATTGGGCCCAAAAAGAGATCAGTAAAATACCAGATGTTCAAAAGGTGATTAAAAAGATCACATGGCCTTTCTTAATGGCAGACCCTGAGAAATAACATTTCATAGGAAAGCTACTGACCTTGACTCTTTCTCCCTTCTCCCCTCACTCAGTCTTGAGACATTCAGTTTCTTTGTTCTTAATTTTCAAATCAGTTCTTAATAGACAGTCAAAAACTAAAATCTTAATTAAAGAGTTTATTTCACTTTTTAACTTGAAAGGAGAGGCTTGCCCACTTGGCAGAAAAATAAAAGCAAACACAACTAGAAAATAGATTCAAAAATACACACATACACACACACACACACACACACACACACACACAAAATACTATGCTAACTAGTTGGATTTAGGAAATTATCTAAAGGAAGGTCAAAGAGTGAGGGGCAGGAATGATACTTTCACATAAATATATCAAATTATGTAATAAAAGACTATGCAAATTTGAATATTCTTAGGTAGGAGCAATACTTTTTCCAGTTTTAAAACAGGTCCTATTAGGCCTGTATTGATCGAGTTTAAATGCAAGTCCTGTGGAACCAAATACAAGGTTTCGATTAATTTAATGTATTAACACTAATCTTTTATGAGTACTAATAAAATTATAATGATCTATCATCTTAAAACTCATGTCTCAGTTTTGTATAACACATAGAGAGAGCATATTATTAACAAATTCACAATCATGCAAGGCAAATTTTTAAGCCTTAATTTTTTAAAACTACTTTTTATCAAATCAAAGACATTTTGATGCTGTTACTTTATTGATCATATCAGAAGTATCAACAGAACATGTTCATACAACTAGGAGGGTCTGAAATCTGGCTGATAATAATTTTAAGGTACTATCACTTGTAAAATATACCTCCCAAACAGAGAAGTAAAAATCTGAAAAATTATGTGCCTTAGAAATGATAAAATAGACATGTTGACATATTTGGCCAATCAAAATGTTAATATTACTAATAGTCCAAATCATCTGAACCAAATAACTCAAAATTGATCATTATTAATTATTCCCATTTGGATAAAAGATGAATAAAAACATGTGCTGAAGATACTTGAAGATGCATTCTCTTTACATGTTAGGGGGTCTTTGATCTGGGCATATACATCTTTATGATATAATAAATCCTATTGTAAACAAGTTGTAGTATAGTCACAAAATGCATTACTCTGCTGCAATAAAAAGGAACTACTAATACAAATGAATTTTAAAACATTATTTCATGAAAAATGCCAGGCATACACAAAAAAGAATCATTAATAAATGGAATCAGAATTCCACTTACAATATTCAAAAAAAGCAAAACTAATATAACTAATATACAGTGGCAGAAATTGTAACAATGGTGCCTCTCCTGGGAGATGATATTAACTGAATGGCATACTGCAAAAAAATTGCTGGAGTGATGGATGTGTTCTATACCTTAACTGCAATCGGTTACAATGACTGTATACATGTATCATGAGATCTATGCATTTTACTACATATAAAGCATTTTCTTAGAAAGGTTATATAGGCCAGGTGCAGTGACTCATGTCTGTAATGCCGGAACTTTGGGAGGCAAAGGTGGGCGGATTACAAGGTCAGGAGTTCGAGACAAGCCTGGCCAATATGGTGAAACCCCATCTCTACTAAAAATACAAAAATTAGCTGAGCATGGTGGCGGCTACTCAGGAGGTTGAGGCAGAAGAACCACTTGAAACAGGGAGGCAGAGGTTGTAGTGAGCCAAGATCACGTCACTGTACTCTAGCCTGGGTGAGAGAGCAAGACTCCATCTCAATCAATCAATCAATCAATCAATCAATAAAAGATTTATACCCTTGATGCCTGAAAAATGCAATGCAAGGAGGCGGGATGAGAGACGAAAGGACTAAAATTTAAGAATAGTTAGGTAACTGTTTTGGACTTACACAGCTGATCTAGAGTGATAAGTAACATGTATACTAGAATATGGTGTTTAACATTGGAGACAAAAAAAAAAAGACTAAAGAGAATGGAATTACAAAAAAACAGAATAATGCTACCTATCTAATCACCAATTCAAGTTATACTAATACTCAAAGTGTAACTTATGAAATAATGTTTAGGATAGAAGAGTAGTTACTCAAGATATCTAAAGGAGTTAACTCCAAGAAAAGAAGCCATTAATTTATCAGCGATAGAATCAAGGTATATAAATCTGACGATTCAGTATTAGTAGATGCCAGGCCTGCTACCCTTATTCTTGCTGGTATCAGTAAGATATTAATGAATCACAATGTACAACATGAGATCTTAAGTGAAAATTAAGAAAATTAAGAACTCATACAGCAGACTGCAAGACTTAATTTAATCATTGTTTAGTATTGTACCTGGGTAAAAAGAAAGAAGTGCTGATCAAAGAATGTACAGTACCTATTAGAATAGTCAAAAAACCAATTTTTCTGCATAATATTAATAGAAATAAGTACAGTAGGTATCTTTAAAAATAAGGTTGCTATGTTCAAATGCACAAGGAATTTTTAATATGATACACAGTATTTTAACATCACTTTCTAACGCCGAAGTTATTTTTTCAATGATTAAGCAACTTTCTTAATCTAACCCATGAGCCTTTTTTTTTTCTGTAAAAACCTAGGTCACACAGAGTAAGTTAAGGAAAACTTCTAGAAAAGCCATGCCAAAATATTTTGATGAGGTAAATTTCTAAAACAGTATTTAATTCATATAAAACCTCTGTAATTTATATTTTATATAAAAGATGATTTAATCTCAAACAAAAACATAAAGGTTCTCTCTTACTAATTAAAAATTAAAAATGAAACCCAATATACCCAGTATATTTCTTTAACATATTATTTTATATTATCCTAAGTGAATTAGAAATTATAAGAGCCTCACTGCTAAAATACTTTGAAGAAAAGATTAAATTTTCTTTCAACATGGTAATTTTATGAAGAGGTCAAGAAAATAGCTACGTAATAGCTAGAAGGCTAAAAGCAAACCTTAAGAACGCAATACTTCTAATTTGTCGAAGAGTCAAGAAAATAGCTACGTAATAGCTAGAAGGCTAAAAGCAAACCTTAAGAACGCAATACTTCTAATTTGTCAAAGAGTCAAGAAAATAGCTACGTAATAGGTAGAAGGCCAAAAGCAAACCTTAAGAACGCAATACTTCTAATTTGTCTAGCATTAGGTTCAAAACAATGAGTTAGAAAAACTGGAGTTAAATTTTTTTTTTTTTTTGAGACAAAGCCTCGCACTGCCCTGCTCAGTCCCCCAGGCTGGAATGCAATGGCGCAATCTCAGCTCACTGCAACCTCCACCTCCTGGGTTCAAGAGATTCTCCTGCCTCAGCCTCCCGAGCAGCTGGGATTACAGGCACCTGCCACTGCACCCAGCTAATTTTTGTATTTTTAGTAGAGACGGGGTTTGGCCACGTTGGCCAAGCTGGTCTCAAACTCCTAACCTTGTGATCCACCCCCAACTCCTCAGCCTCCCAAAGTGCTGGGATTACAGGCACGAGCCACCACACCCAGCTGGGGTTAAATTCTTAACAAAATACAAATAGACTGCTTATCAAAAGTTCGAAGTATCAGGAAATATAAATTACTATGTTTTTTAAAAAAAAAAAAAAAAACAAAATGATACTTACGACTACTTCCAAGTTCTTCAAATAGGAACTTCACTTTTTCCCACTCTGTAGAATTTTTGTTATTGGGAACATTCAATGGAACAAAGGCACTACAAAAGAGAAAATAATTGTTTTAATAGCTTTAAAGATAAAATGTTAAATTAGATAGTTTGAAACTCAAATTATTTTTCTCCAAAACAATAAATAAATAAAATCTGTACTATGCACAGAGGGGAGTGAAGAGTTAAATACCTATGCATTAACTTCATTGCAAATTTGTTTTAATAGTTGTATTACTGCATTTAGTAAAATTTCCCTTGTAATCCCGTATGTTTTCTGCACTTAAAATACTTTATTATACTTTAATAAAGCTGGGAAAAAACAAAAAATAAATATATAATATTTTGAGAATGGACCATAGGTTTTAGACGATCAAAACAATCCACAAAAAAGGTTAAGGACATCTGTATTAAATCAGTAAAGCAGAATGTAAATATATGCAATCATTTAAGAAAAGAAATATATTAGAATAAACAGTAAATGTCTCACTGTGGAATTGGAAGTGATTATTACTTTTTTATTAGTATTTTTCTATTAATATATCTTTCAAGATTCTATCCAACAGACACAATGAAAGTAGTTTCAAAACTATTTGTTTTTCAACCCACAGGTGAAGAGGAACTGTAGAAATAATAGAGATAGCTAGCATCCTAGGACCTGCTCTATGATCTTAGACTGGGAAAAGGTAGAATAAATAAATGTTCACTTTATTATCTAGCCCATATCAATAACAAGAAGATAATCCAGAGATTAAGGTAAAGAGCTGGGTATCCCTTAGGTTGTATATGGGTAGGAACAAACAGGACAGGAAGTAAAAAAAAAGAAAAAAAGAATCCCTATTTCCTATTGCTACTGACAACTCTTATTTTAAAAATGACTGGGCACAGCATTTCAGGAGGTTAAATTTCTAACAATCTGCATTGACTTCAGTTTACTATATTCTTCTTAATCCTCGAGACTTATTTCTCCCCACTTTTAGAAAAAACAAGGTGCTTACTCACAGGCATAGAGGAATAAATGCAGAAAGTTTATTATTTGTTGACCGAGGTATGAAATCAAACAAAGAGCAGAGGTGTGGAATCAAGATATAAAATTATAACATTTTTGTATATCATACATCCACAACACAAATATAAACTAAGCAAGAAAAAACTACCAATATGATATTCCTTTATTTGAACAGAGTTTGTTCTGGATATCCCAGAAAGTATGTTCTGAACTTGTTAGTTGGGAATAACCAATCTGTGAGAGTGGGAAAACAAAAATTTCTATGTTGTACAAAATACCACCTATCGTACTATTAAAAAAGAAATATGTATTAGGATATCTAAAAACAGCATTTATACTCATAGGGCTCAATATGCAATATTCTAAAACTCAGTATGTCAGTTTTAGGTAATCAAAGATATTGTACAGAAAGAGAATAAAATTAATTAACCCTTGCTCTTGATGACACACGTTCAACTCCTGAGCAGAATTATCTAGTAGTTCAAATATTCAAAAAAGAGTAACACCAGAGGGAACCTTATATAACCAAAAAAAACTAAAAAGACTAAAAAGACTAAGTGACCCACACTACTATCAGAATGACTTCAGGAAAATACTTCGAAAGCATCCATCAGAGAGTTAACATTTGAGCACTTAGTATTTTAGGTATAAACGAAAGCACAAATTCAAAGCAGGTTCCTAAATCACTTTACCACCAGGATTTTATAATCTAAAAAACAGACCTAAAATATTTTCACATAAACTAAGAAAACATCCATAAGTCAAACTCAAAACATGGCAAAGGCACTAATTAATCAACACAGACCCTGGCCTTAACTCTGCAGGACGTTGATGAACCCGGCTTTCCTTTTTCAATGGAACTGATGTAGGGTAAGAAGACCCAGAGGGCAGAGCAGCACCTGACTGGTATAAAAGCATGTCGACCTTTTAACCACCAGAAAGAACAAACCACTGTTCATTAGCCAAATAGCAGCCCCACAGACAGAGATCTATAAAGAAAAAGAAATGCCTACCAACAGATGAAAAGGCAACTGAAGTCAAAGTTATAATACAGATACATCAGTTCTGAGGAAAGAGACAGCAGTTAAGATTATCAGGTATTTAGTATACTAAATGAAATGGTGATGACATTAAAGTGGCCAAGAGTTAGTATACAACGGGATTTGTGTGGTAGAAAGGTTCACATACTTTTAAAATTTCAGCCCTTCTAGAAAAAAAAAATGTATACAGAGCACCTCAGCTTCCAAAAACACAAAGTATTAGATTAAGCCATTTATGACTAGTGTTCCATTACTGGAATATTAAGCTTGTGGGAGTTATTTATATTTCACTGCTCAAGGTCATCACCAAGGTCTGATTTTTCACTAAAAAAATTTGCAACCTCTGGCATAAATGGGTTAAAATACAAACTAGAGTCTAGTAAGACAACACTTTTCCCTCATGCCCTTGAAAACAATAAAACTAAAAAACTGCTTAGTAAAAATATTTTCTACCCAATCTGATTCACTGAATTAGCTTAACACACATTATCTCTTCAGAAACAAAGAAAAAGCTAATGAATTTCAGTAGATGTGAAATGGAAATGATGAATTCAGCAGACTGAAAATAAGATGTTCACTTCTTACACTCCATCACCAAGTCAATTCATATTTATCTTCCAAATAGCTTATGTTTCTTCCTCTCTGTTCTCTTGGTAACCACTGTAGTTCCAAAGCTCACCTGAACTTATACAATGGCTACTTAACTGATCTTCCTACCTACTATTTACATACCACTTCTCCAACCCAACAGCCAAAATCCTCTTGCAATACATCCTCCACAGTGCTGTAACTTTTTTTTTTTTTTTTGAGACAGAGTGCCACTCTGTTGCCAGGATGGAGTGCAGTGGCTCAATCTCAGCTCACTGCAACCTCCACCTCCCAGGTTCAAGCTCTTCTCCTGCCTTAGCCTCCCAAGTAGCTAGGATTACAGGTGCACACCACTATGCCCAGCTAATTTTTGTATTTTTAGTAGAATTCACTATGTTGGCCAGCATGGTCTCGATCTCTTGACCTCGTGATCCACCTGCCTTGACCTCCCAAAGTGCTGGGATTACAGGCAGGAGTCACCATGCCCGGTCCACAGTGCTGTAACTCTTAAAGTCATATATATTTATTTTCATGCATTCATGTACACAAATATATACACATCTTCACTGTCTTTCAATTACTCAGTAGGACAAAATTTAAAATTTCTTAAATATGGCATGTAAGACCCAGAGTCTACTTACCTGGCTAATGTCATATCCTGTCACTTGCCCACAAGAACACTTGAAACATCACATTACCCTTCTTTTTTTGAGGGGAGGGGAAATCTAAATTCACATCATACTTTTTATGTCATTCTTCAAACACTCCATGCTAACCTCAGCCTCCCAGTTAGTATATTTTATAGACTGAATTGTGCTCCCTAAAAATGCATACGTTGCTGGCTCTCTGCTCCTCCACTCTATAGAGAGCCTCATCTTTGCAGCAGCACCAGCCACATCACTGAGACATCATGGTGGAAGTGAAGGGCAGAGTGAATGGATTTGGTCATAGTGGTGCCTGGTCACCAGAGCTCCTTTTAACCCTGGCAAAGGGAATATTGTTGCCATCATTGACCCCTCAGTGACCTTAACTATATGGCCTACATGTTCCGACATGACTCCACCCATGGCAAGTTGTAGGGCACTGTCAAGGCTGAGAACTGGAAGCTTGTCGTCAATGGAAATCCCATCACCCTCTTCTTACAGGTGCAAGATTTCACCAAAATTAAATGGGGTGATTTGGGTGCTGATAATGTTGTGAAGTCTACCAGCATCTTTACTACCATGAAGAAGGCTGAGATTTTCTTAGAGCAGCGAGCCAAAAGGATCCTCATCTCTGCTCCTTCTGCTGATACCCCCATGTGATGGGCCTGAACCATGAGAAGTACAAAAATGGCATAAAGATGGTCAGCAATGCCTCCCGCACTATCAACTGCTTCGTCACCCTGGACAACTGTGGCATCATGGAGGGACTAATGACCACAGTTCAAGCCATCATTGGCACTCAGAAGACCATGAATGGTCCCTTTGGGAAACTGTGGTGTGACAGCTGTGAGGCTCTCGAGAACATCATCCCTGCCTCTACCTGTGTTGCCAAGGCTGTGAGCAAGGTCATCCCTGAGCTACAGGAAGCTTACTGGCATAACTTTCCATGTCCCCACTGCCAATGTGTTGGTTGTGGACCTGATGTGCCATCTGGAGAAACTTGCCAAATATGATGACATAAACAAGATGGTAAAGCAGGCATTGGAGGGTCCCCTCAAAGGCATCCTGGACTACCCTGAGCAACAGGTTGTCTCTTCCAACTTTACTACTGATACTCTTTCACCTTCGATGCTGGGCTGGACTGCCTTCAACAACTACTTTTTCAAACTCATTTTCAGATATGACAACGAATTTGGCTACAGCAACAGGGTGGTGGAACTCATGTTCCACCTGGCTTCCAAGGGGTAAGAGCCCCTGATCACCAGCTCCAGCAAAAGCACAACAGGGAGGGAGAGGCCCTCAGCTGATGGGGAGTCCCTGCCACACTCAGTCCCCCACCACACTGAGAATCTCCCCTGGTCACAGTTTCCGTGCCAGACCCCCTGAAGAAGGAGGAACCTAGGGAGTACCACTTTGTCATGCACTATCAATAAAATCCCCTGTACTCAACTCTCCAAAAAAAAAGAAAAAAGAAAATCCCTATGTTGAAGCCCTAACTCCCAATGTAATGGTATTTGGATACAGGTCCGTTAGCAAGAGAATTAGGGTTAAATGAAGTCAAAAGGGTGGGGCCTTAATTATCCCATGGCATTGGAGTCCTTATAAGAAGAGGAAGAGACACCAGAGAGTGCTCCTTCTCTCTCCTGCACCCTCTCACTCTCCCCCTCCCCTTCTCCCTCTGCAAGCACAAAGGAAAGGCCACGTGAAGACAGAGCAAGAAGATGGCCTTCGATAAGCCAGGAAGAGAACTCTCACCAGAAACCAAACTTGCCAGCACCTTTAACATAGACTTCTAGCCTCCAGAACCATGAGAAAATAAATGACTGTTATTTAAGCCACCCAGTCTATGATACTTTGTTATGGCAGCCAAAGCAGACGAAAACAATATACATGTTATTCATCTTTTTCATTTGTCAAGTCAGCTGACCAATTCCATTCCTTCGAATCTCAACTCAAATATTACTTCCTCTTAGATCTCCTGATTCTTCAAGGCAGAGTAAGAACCTGCTCCTCTACCATCAACATCTGGTATGTATCTCCTATCAGAGCACTTAAACACTGTAATTCAAGGTATGAATCTGCATGCCTCCACAACGTAAACCTAGAGGACAGAGAACATGGTCCTCTATCTTTAGCCCAAAGATCTAGCATAGCATCCAACACATAAGTGTTCCAAAAACGTATGAGCTACATGAATCAGTTAAATCTAGATCACGGCTTTGCCATAAAATTATCTAGTTTTATCTTAAAAGAAACTCTGAATTGCCACCTTCAAAAATATTTCAAGACCTTTTGTCAATCACTTAACCTAAATGCACACCTCATTCAAACATTTACATATGGTAATGAGAAGAACACTGTCCTAGATGGCTGAAACGCTAATAATCTTTAATTCACTACTCTTTTATTCTGACTGTTGCAAAGATTTGTAGTTTTATTGGTGATTCTCATTCATGTTCTAAAATAGGAGTTGGCAAACTACTGGCTGCCTGTGTTTATAAATAAAGTTTTTCTAGAACACAGTCATGTTCTTTACGTATTGTCTGATTACTTCTGAGCTACAAGAGAGACACAGAGACCATACAGACAGTAAATCTAAAATACTATCTATGCTTTAAGAAAAGTTTGCTGATTTCCACTCTAGATAATTCAGGTTTACATACAAGGGACATCTACATTAACAAGGGAAATTAACATAAGTAGATTTAGCTTTCTTTAAAAAGCCAAAAAAATACTTTAGAAATATACTCGGTAGCTAAAATACATAGAAAAACCACTAAAAAAGGTGCTTAAAAAAGTACTCTTTTTCATGACACATCAAGGCAGGTAAAAATAATTGAAAATATGACTTGACTATAAAACACATGCACCCTAAGAACTCCGGGAACTACAAAAAGTTACTCAACAATTTTATTCCTATTACAAGTTACATATAATAAGTAATTTTTTTTATTTATGGAAAGTTATGTATTGAAAATTGTGAGACTAAATTATAAACAGAAACTTCAAAAAATTTATTAATTCCTAATGTATTTCCTAACATAAAAAAAGACAGACTAATGACCTATTTTTAACAAAGATAAATGTCTTCCATTAACAAGGATAAATTTTAGATGTACAAACAAATAAGCAAAATGTTACTGATATAAGTATAAAAACAAGAAGAATTAAGAAAGGAAATTCACTGACAAAGATTTAAAGACTGATAGGGTCAAATCTGAAAAGATGCACAGACAAGGATTTTCATCAAAGTGTTATTTATAACAATGGGGAAACATTATAAATGTCTAAGCAGTTATCACTAGAAGATCAGTTAAATATATTTTTGTATCCTTAGAAGGAAATGCAATGTAGTCAAAATTGATGGATCTACACTTACTATCCTGAAGAGATGCCCGCAATATGTTAAGAAGTAGATTACCAAGAATTATATAAAATATAATCACATTTGTGTAAAACTAAAACATGTAGGGTGCATGCAAGAAGGGAGGTGCACTCTGCATGCATTCAAGCACATAAAAATGTCTAGATGAAACAACAGACAAAACTGTTAAATTGTGGCTATTGTTCTTTGGAGATACAGAGAGTGGATTGTTCTTTTTTTTTTACATTTTTTTTCTTTCCCAGATTTTTCTGAATGATCCTTTTATTATTTTTTTCAAATAATTCTATTTCCATTTCATGGTTAAAAAAAAAAAAAACAAGACTTACCCAACTAAAAGAAGCAGTGCACAAATCACAACAAATCCCAAAGTATACTTGAGTGCCGTTTTAATTTGCTAGATGCCAAGGAGAAAAAAGTATAACATTTAGCAAGCCCTTTAAAATATAAAATATTCTTGCAACAGTTTAACAGTACCTTCACATCAGATACACGCTTACAGTCAAAGGTTTCAACTAAGGTTGAAAACCTTAAAATTTAAAGAAAACGGATATACTACATCTTAAGTATCTTTGCAAAATATGAGATTTTAAAAATCTTTTCAATAGTTATGCCCTTGTAAAAACCAAACCACGTATAGTTGATTCTCCAGTAGGCATCTTTAGTAAAATTATCAGAATATGTAATACTCCCCCAGACAGCAATCAGAATCTACAATGCCCCAATCCAATTCATCAAAATGGTTTATAATAATCAACACAATATACACATTTTTGTTTGAGTATATACATGAGTATAAATATACTTGTATATATACTCATATATACATATATGTAAGTATATATACACATACATATTTATGTATTTATATTTATACACATATTCATATTTATGTATTTATGTATGTGTATATGTGTATATATACTTACATACATTAATATATATTTCATACATATATAACATATGCCAGGCACTGATAAGAACATCACATATGTTAACTCATTTAATTCTCATAACAACTCTAAGATAGGTTGTTCTCATCTTTACTTTAGACATAACGAAGCTGAAGTCCAGAGAAGTTAATAATCTCTCCTAAGGCACATAGGTTATAAGTGATTAAGTAAGTACTTAAGACCAGGAACTTGGGAATTTAAAAACTATGTTTTGCTTGGTGCCTATAATATACTCCAAAGGCTAAGAAAAGCAAATAAAGACAAAGCTGGACATTCTGAATATGAATTAAAAAGTGAATAATAATCTCATTTTAAATCAGTCAGAAATAACATTTGTGCTCTCAGACTAATGAAGTATCTAAAAATGATCTTTTAAAATTTGAATGAATGTTTCACACAGTAAGTTCTTATTCACAAAGGGGATAAGATATCCCTTAGGAAAAAAACTGAAGAAAAGATAAAGAAGATCCTAAGATCAACCAAAGGGTAGAAGAATGTGCACTCTGGAAGAAGTGAAAAAGACTGCATAAATCTCATGGAGATTTTATTAAATTTGCAACCAGCTACCTTACTTTACATACCTTGGTTTTTCCAAATATAGAGTAATATAGTATCTGCAAATAACAGTTTTGACTCTCTTTATAAATATTTAAATGTCTAATTTTTTTTCTCTAACACTACGCTGATTATCACTCTAGGAGTCATTTAAAATACTGTTAATTTACTTGCTCCTAATCTTAATGCCAATGCTCTTGAGGTTTTAAGCATGATTAAGCATGATGCTAGCTTTTGACTGAATGTATTTATTTCTATATTTAAATACAAATGTAAACAAGGTATAAAAATCCTGTAAGTCAAAAAGATAAGACATTTAGTCTTATTGTACAACTGTTCCCCTAAATTACAAAGTATTCGATTTTGACATATACCTTTTAATATACATTTTTTCTTTGACCTATTAATTACTATATACTAATAGATTTCCTGATTTTCAGTCACCCATGCAATTGAGAGACAGGCCCAACTCAGTTATATAATATTAATATATTTCTAAGATTCTCCTGAATTATATTTACTATTATTTTAATTAAGATGTTTATACCAATACTTAAGTGATAATGATCTGCAGTTCTGAACACACATGTGTGCTGTATTTGTCAGGTTTTTAAAAAGTCAGTCCTTTTTTTTGAGACAAAGTCTCACTCTTGTCGCCCAGGCTGGAGTACAGTGGTGCAACCTCGGCTCACTGCAACCTCCGCCTCCTGGGTTCAAGCAATTCTCCTGCCTCAGCCTCCAGAGTAGCAGGCCCCCACCACCATGCCCAGCTAATTTTTGTACTTTTGTACTTTTACTAGAGACAAGTTTTCGCCATGTTGGCCAGGCTGGTCTCTAACTCCTGACCTCAGGTGATCTGCCCACCTTGGCCTCCCAAAGGGCTGGAATTACAGGCATGAGCCACAGCACTCGTCTAAAAAGAAAGTCAGCCTTATCCTGGATTAGTAAGTACAACCTGTAAGTGCTCCTTCTTTATGCTTTTGAACAGGGGCCAGCAAACTACATTCAGTGTGCCACATCTGATTCATTTTCTGTTTTATTGGATTATAAAATGTTCATTGTCTCTGAATACTTTTAACACTATAATGGCAGACTTGAGTAGCTAAGACAGAGACCATATAGCCCACAAATCCTAAATTATTTACCTCCTGGCCTTCTACAGAAAAAATTTTGTATACCTGATCTAGAATTGCTTTGTCTAAAATAATAGTCACAAGCCACATGTGGCTAGAAAGCACTTGAAATGTGGCTAGCTTGAACTGTTGTGTAAAATACAATCCAAATTTCAAAGACTTAGTGTGAAGAAAAGAAACTTAATATTTCATTACTAGTTTGTTTGACTATATTTGAAATAATATTTGGAATATATTATGTTAAATACAATGTATAATTAAAATTAACTTCAACTGTTTCTTTTTATTTTAATTTAGCTAACATTGTATTTCTATCAGACAACACTGCTCTATAAAAAAATCCAGTCATGTCATTCTCTGAAAAAGCAGGAAATATTATTTTTCTTTCCTCAACTGAGGCCTCTAAAATAAAGATACTTACAGTACATTTACTAGTATCATCATCATCCTTTTCTTCATAATAGAAGTAGACAAAAGGGATCCAGAAGAACACACAGAACAATATAACAGAATATAAAGCTGTGGAAATAAATAATAAACTAAGTTTTACTAAATACGTATGTACTTAATCACAGTTATCTATATGTGTATATACATTCACTTAACAAATTCACTACCCTGATTCCCTCTACTCATAACTCTTTCTATATAGTATATGATGCCCAAATAGCCTTCTCTGTCCCATGTCCCAAGAGATCAACAGTACTATCAGAATAACAACCTATAATTCAAGTTAACTTTGCATCAATTTATTATTATTTTTTTTTTGACACGGAGTTTTGCTCTGTCGCCAGGGCTGGAGTGCAGTGGCACAATCTTGGCTCACTACAAGTTCTGCCTCCTGGGTTCACGCCATTCTCCTGCCTCAGCCTCCTAACTAGCTGGGACTACAGGCGCGCGCCACCACGCCTGGCTAAGTTTTTGTATTTTTAGTAGAGACGAGGTTTCACCGTGTTAGCCTGGATGGTCTCAATCTCCTGACCTCGTGATCCACCCGCCTCAGCTTCCCAAACTGCTGGGATTACAGGTGGCAATTTCTAACAATAGTAATAACTGGGTCCAGAACAATTGTGGCAGCTGACATATGAGCTCTTACTCTGTACTAACTTCAATGCTGAGAACTTCCTATAAACCATCTCATTTAAATGAACTTTAACTTTTGTGTTCATTCCAACTTAAATTTGAGTACACTTGACACAACATTTGCTATTCCGGCAAGTTAAAGAAACAGCTATAAATAATATGGTCTTTTTGATATAAATAATTTTCTCATCTTAAGTTTAAAAAATATGCAGTATTACACAACCAATCTTACACAAATCAAAACAGAGAAAAGGTAAAAAAAAAATAGTAGAACAGTAAAATTAGATCTCTATTTACCCATCAATGGACATTGGAGTTGCCTCCAAATTTTGCAATTTGTGAATAACGCAGCTGTGAACATGGAAGGACAAATAGCTCTTCATGATCCTGTTTTCAATTCTTATATTCAAAATTAGATTCAACATTAACTGATAGGAATTACTATTTATCTGCTTTTTTTTAAAAAAAAGTTAGATTTGAAATACTTTTAACCAGTAGTCAGTCAAAATATTTATTTAAATTCAATATAGAGTTTAAGTTAAGCCAAAGATATAGTACCTTTAACAATAAAAACAGAAGAAGGAACATTTGAGACTTAAGCCTAAAAAACCTGTTCTTAAAATCTGTATTTTCACATTCATTTGTTTATACGTATTCATGAAAAATAATAGTACCAGTATAATTATACAAAGCAATTACAGAATGATAATCATTGTACTCCTTTATAAAAGAAAGCAACTGTTACCATCTCAGACCTATAAGGATGGCTACTAACAAAAAACAATAATAATGACATGTGTTGTCAAGGGTGTGGAGAAACTGAAACCCTGTGTGCTGCTGGTAGGAATGTAAAATGGTACAGCAGCTGTGGAAAACAGTATGATGTTTCCTAAAAAAATGAAAACTGGCATTACATATGATACAGCAATTCCACTTCCAGGTATATGCACAAAAGAGTTGAAAGCAGGGTCTCAAAGAGTTATTTGTACACCCATGTCCATAACTGCATGGTTCACAGTAACTAAAACATGAAAGCCACCCAAGTGTCAATTGATGGATGGATAGAGAGGCAAAATGTGGTATACATAAAACAGAATATTATTCAGCATTAAAAAGGAAGGAAATGATATATGCTACAACACAGATTAACTTAGCATAACTAGGATATTATGCTAAGTGAAATAAGCCAGTCACAAAAAGACACATACTATACGACTCCACTTATATGAGGTACTGAGAGTAGTCAAAATCAAGGAGACAGAAAGTAGGATGGTGGTTGTCAGAAGGAGAGGGGAAAGGCAAAATAGAGAGTTCCCGTTAAAAAGGTATCGTTTCAATTTTACAAGATGGGAAGTGTTATGGAGATGGATGGCACCAATGGCTGCATATTATGAATATATTTAATACCACTGAATAGTATACTTGAAATAGTTAAGATGGTTAAACAAATATGGAAAAAAATGCTTGTTAGTAATGTATAATAAAATCTAAATTACTTATTGTGTTGGAAGAAATGACTTTAGAGTTAAAGAATTTTCTTAACATTTGCTAGCCTTATCTCATTTATCTGGAGGACACTTATGAAACAGCCCTACTACATGCAATACAGATAAAAGAAACTCAAATCAAATAGGACCCTAAATAATCAACAGAGGGGCAGAGTTAATTTATACTTAGCAATCACAAAATGTCAACATACTGAATTTGGCACTATAGGCATTTAATGAAATTTATGCAGGCTTTTAATATTATGAGCAACTAATAGTGACAATAAATCTTTTAGGGCAGTGAATATTGGTGTTTCTACTACAAACCAAAGAGTAGTGAGTTTTAACATTTCTGTTACAAATCTAAGAGCCAACAGACATAAACATTTATCTACAAGGAACCTAAATTTACAAGAAATAAACAACCCCATCAAAAAGTGGGCAAAGGATATGAACAGACACTTCTCAAAAGAAGACGTTTACACAGCCCACAAACGTATGAAAAAAAGCTCATCCTCACTGGTCAATAAGAAATGCAAATCAAAACCACGATAAGCTACCACCTCAAGCCAATCAGAATGGTGATTAAGTCAGGAAACAACAGATGCTAGGGAGGCTATGGAGAAACAGGAATGCTTTTACACTGTTGGTGGGAGTATAAATTAGTTCAACCATTGTGGAAGATAGTGTGGCAATTCCTCAAGGATTGAGAACCAGAAAATACCATTTGACCCAGCAATCCCATTACTGGGTATATACCCAAAGGATCATATATCATTCTACTATAAAGACACATGCACAAATACATTTATTGCAGCACTATTTACAATAACAAAGACTTGGAACCAACCCAAATGCCCATCAATGATAGACTGGATAAAGAAAATGTGGCACATATACACCATGGAATACTATACAGTCATAAAAAAAAGTAAGTTCATGTCCTTTGCAGGGACATGGATGAAGCTGGAAGCCATCATTCTCAGCAAACTAACACAGGAAACAGAAAACCTAACATCTCATGTTCTCACTCATAAGTGGGACTTGAACAATGAGAACACATGGACACAGGGAGGGGAACATCACACACCAGGGCCGGTTGGGGGGTGGGGTCAAGGCGCAGGGAGAGCATTAGGACAAATACCTAATGCATGCGGGGCTTAAAACCTAGATGATGAGTTGATAAGTACAGCAAACCACCATGGTACATGTACACCTGTGTAACAAACCTGCACATTCTGCACATGTATCCCAGAACTTAAAGTAAAAAACAAACAAACAAACAAAAAAACAAAAAACTGTAACAAGTATTCCAAAGCTTTAAAAACTTAAATACAAAATGCCATTTGTAAATCACCCTAAATACCATGCCAATATTATGATTAAAATAATCAAATAAAATAATTTGTGTAAAATAGAAAAAAGAAAAGAAACTGAATTAGCACAACAGACTTGAGTAGGATGACAGCCTCACACCAAAAACTTTGATAAACTAATAGGTGGAGTAAAGTTTAGCTTCAGTCTGAGTATGCCACTTGTGTCTGTTACTTGGTGGGCTTGGGCTTTAGATAGCCAAACAGCCTAATGACTATTTTATAAGCATTCCTGGTGCTCCTAATCTTGTGTGATAAACAATCTTTTGAATACCTAAGTTATCATTATATTTAATTAGCATAGCAAAGTGTAAGACAAATTCCTGTACCTCAATAAAAAGACAACCTTTTTTTAAAAAGGGGCAGATTTCAATACTTCACTTTAGAAAATATACACAATTTCTGGGCATGGTGACTCACACCTGTAATCTCAGCACTTTGGGAAGTCGAAGCAGGAGGATCACCTGAGTTCAGGAGTTCCAGGCCAGCCTGGCCAATATGGTGAGATCTCGTCTCTACTAAAAATACAAAAAAATTAGCCAGGCATGGTGGCAAGCACCTGTAATCCCAGCTACTCAGGAGGCTGAGGGAGGGGAATCACTTAAAACCAGGAGGCAGAGGTTGCAGTAAGCCAAGATTGTGCCACTGCACTGCAGCCTGGGCAACAGAGCAGGACTGCATCAAAAAGAACGAAAGAACGAAAGAAAGAAAGAAAGAACGAAAGAAAGAAAGAAAAAATATATACAATGGCCAATAAGCACATTTTAAAAGATGCTCATCACCGTAAGTCATCAGGAAAATGCAAAGTAAATCTAAATGGCTAAAATTAAACTGGCAATACCAAGTGTCGACAAGAATGCAGAACAACTAACACTATCATACTTTACTTGTAGGAGTGAGGTACAACACTGTAAAAAACTGTTTAGTAGTTCCTTACCAAGTTAAACATACACCTATCACATGACCCAACAATTTTCTTCCCAAGCAATAAGGCACAACAACTTATGTTAAAGGACTTCTGCCCAGAGAAGCTTGGTTGATTCGCAGAGTCCAGGGCATTTATTGGAGACTTGCAAAGCCAGCGTATTTGCCTAAAGTGACCAGCTTTGATTACCAAAGCTACAGACTCCAAAAAGGAAAGCAAGAATTCACCAAAAATCATGTTTTTGAACAATCTAAACTAGTCGGTAGTGCATGGTTCCATATACAGCTTTACAAAACCACCTTTTAATTAGTAACATAGAGAACACACCAAGGGCTAAGTTTCTGGTAGTCAAAGGTAAGCCACACAGGCAGGACCTCCCTGAAAACATATAAGCATTCAGCAATATTAGGTCTACTGCATTAACTCTTTCACAAGAATGATGTTCGGAGAAACATCATATGCAGTAATCAAAAACTGGAAATGATCCAAATGATCATCAACAAGTGGATGGATAAGCAAACTGAGTAATACATTCACATAAAAGATGATCACACAGCAATAAAAAAGAAACATGAGATACAGATGAATCTCATAGACCTTGTGTTGAATAAAACAAGCCCGTACACAAGAGTACCTTTCTATGATTGAACA